CACGTCCTTCTGTACCGCATCAGTCCATCTCTTCTCTAGTCCATGCCGCGTCCGTTTAGCCCCCTCTATGCGGCCAAACAGAAGCTGCTTGGGCATGTGGTGGCTGAGCTTGCGGGCTACGTGACCCAGCCAACGCAGCCTTGCCTGCCGGAGGAGCTCACCGATGGGACTGTATCCAGATTTTTTCCAGAAACTGAGCTCCTCACACAATCCAGCCTGGTTAAACCCTGGATGGATCGTAGGCAGGCCAGCCTGAATATTTTAAACCGGTGGAGATGTTACTTGAAAGGGCCCAACGTTTCGCAAGCATAGAGAAGGGAGTATTATGAATAGAGAAGGTAGGGCATAACTGTGGCCGAGAAGACCCTGAACTTTATGTGGAGCGACAGAAACACTCATAAACACACACACACACACTCCTATACCAACACACACACTCATAAACCGGTACACGCACAAGGACACACCAAAGACCAAGATTCCTGAAAGCGAGCAACTATTAGAGTTTTGCATCATTGACGAGGGGGTGGGTGTTTACACATCACATCAGCTACTAATTCAAGGCTGAGCCGACCTAGGGACACCCACGACCCGTTCATAGATTCACCACCGATGGTGGTCCTCAAATGGGACTGGAACTCGGGTAGCCGGGTTCTTAGCGCAGATAAACACACACACAAGACAAAGATCCCCTATGTAGCCTTAACCATACTTTTGGTGGAGTACTGTAGCCGCACCTATAAAGGCCGACACAGTACACGACGGGGTGGGTGGCCAATGCCCGTTCCCAAAAGTATGTTAAGGCGATAAGGGGAATCTTTATCTTGTGTTAAGTTTACACAAACATTGGAAAGTGCTTCTGGTATCACACCGGCTAGCTGCCTTTGTCGCACTAGTGGTGATATTTACACACGGCACCGAGAGCAGTGATTACACTGGTCTGCAATTTGTTAGATGTGGTCTGCTTCCGAGGTTAAATGTGCTGTTTATCATGGATTTTGACGTGCTGAATTAAAATATGACAATTAAAACAACTGATTGGCTACTGTTCCCAAGATTTCGATTTAAAGCTTTCGTGACTGCAGGGATTCATCTTCTTGGTTCTTTCGGTAAAGTCACGTAGAAGGGAAAAAATAAAATAATAAAAATATAAAACAATACAATTCTCACGACGTTTCGATTGCAACACAAGCAATCATCATCACCTGATGATACTGTTCAACCACCACCACACTGTTCAACCACAACCACACTATATACCACACCATGTGAAGGAACAGATGAACTGTTCCTTTACCTGAAGAAGGCTACTTGTGTTGTGGCCGAAACGTCGTGAGAATTTTATGTTATTATGTTTTATTTGTATTACTTTGTTTCCATTCTACGTGACTTTACCGAAAGAACCAAGAAGATGTTCCCAAGATATTGAAGTTTTTACAAATTTTATTGTGTAGATAGTAGAGTTTTACTCATAAATTGTAAACCTAGGTCTTTTCATATGTTTATGGTTGCTTTACATGATAACGTGTCACCTGTCCTGTTCATGTAACACTTTAAAATCAGCAAAGGGGTTACATAATTAAAATGTATTATGAAACAAAAGGCAAAAAACTAGTGTGTGTCTATATAAGTACTTAGTTTAGTCCTGATTCAGTGTCTACTCGGCACTTCTTGGCTTATCTCTTGTATTCATTAAATGGAGCATCTCTTGTCACTGTCTAGCAATAGTCTGCCAGCATTGATGGGCTCCATTTGCCCTCATAGCGTTTCTCCATCGTTGCAATGTCCTGGGTGAAATCGCTCGTCATACTCGTCGCTCACTGCTCTGCAATTCAGTGGAAAAGATCTAGATGAGAGTGGAAAAAATGTATCTTTCGTGACATGTTGCAACTCCCTGTAGTTGTCTGCCTTATTGTTTCCGAGAAATTTGTTGCCACTAACTGGAAGGCTTCCTATTCCTTGCCACGCAGTGCACTGTCAACTGCCTCATCTCGAAGAAGTTCACGAATCTGAGGACAAAGACACCTTCCTTTATCTTAGCTTCACTTAACCTTGGATTTTTTTCCACTGAGGTACTTGAAAGGTGCTTGTGTTTTGTCCATGCCTTTGGCAAAGTTCTTCATCAGACCCAGCTTGATGTGTAAAGGTGGTAACAAAATCTTCCTTGATTCAACAAGTGGTGGAAGCTGAACAGTTTTCCTCCCAGGCTCCAATGACTGTCAGAGTGGCCAATCTATCTTGATGTAGTGGGAATCTCTCGCAAGACTATCCCATTCGCAGAGAAAACAGCAGTACTTTGTGTATCCAGTCTGCAGACCAAGCAAGACAGCAACAACCTTTAAATCGTGATAATCGGGTTTCCCCTTTCTGGGAATAAAACAGTCGTGTTAAGATGCTAAAACAACAAACTGAAACCTTTGCAAGGAATCACGTCTGCATTAACCACATATACTTGTGGTGAAGATGCAGGCAAAAAAAACATGCTCTGACAGTATATGCATTGTCTTTGAAACTGATTGGTCCACACCAGAGACAGCTTTCTTTAGAGTCTAGTCTTTAGAGCTTAGTCTCAAACAGTGTCAAATCGCCACAAAGCCGCCACTGATGTTGGCCATTGTTTATGCACCTCAAAAATGGTTCATGTTATCATAGGTTTCTTTCATATGGACTGCGTGACCAACTGGAATTGATGGAAAAACATTGCCATTATGTAGCAAAACATCTTCGATGAATTAATGAACAGTCTCCACTCATCTGGATCATGAACGATGTTGAGGGCTACCGTCACACCATCGATGCTGTTGCATGCTACAAGATCACCTTACATGAAGAATGGGACAAGATCCTTTTGACAGTCACAGAACATGGAAACCCTAACATCACCTGCCAGGAGATTCCACTGGTGCAGTCTAGAGCCCAACAGCTCTGTCTTACTCTTGGGTAGTTCCAAATCCCTGACAAAGTCTTTAAGTTCACCTTGTGTTATGAGGTGTGGTTCAGAGGAGGAGGATGGGAGAAAATCTGGGTCATGTGACCTTGATGGTTCAGGACCAGAAGTTTCATTCTCTTCCTCTTCCTCATCTGACTCAAGTGAGAATAATTCTGGTGCATCAGGACCCGGCAGCCCAACTGGAGGTGAAGAGGTAACAATTGCTGATATGATCTGTTGACTCTGTCCAAATCATTGGCACTGCAAAAAGGCATACATTTCCTTTTTATGTTCAACCACTGGTAAAGATTTGTTGCACAAGTGTTGCAGCATATGAGTGGGGCCTACTTCTTGTTCTGATCTTCAATTTTGCAGCCAAAATAAAGGTGATAGGCTTTCTTAACCATAGTGGTTATAGCACGCTTTTGTGATGAAAGGTAATTTCACCGCAAACATAGCAGAAGTTATCTGCTTTGTTCACACAAGTACGAGGCATCTCTGCTCGCTTTGGCTAAATAGAAATGCCTCTTTGCAAAATCAAACACTGACAAATAAGAGAGCACGGCACTGTATGATTTCTAGAGCTGATGTATGGTAATTTGTTCAGCAGAGGGATGTAAGTGGTGTCGGTATGGGCTTAATGTAAATGAACCACAAGTATAATTGTGAATGAAAGTAATACTGACCATGGATTAGGCCCATAGGGTCACGTGAGTGCACAGTAGGCCACGCCCACCAGTAGAGTAATCAATTCAGGGTACAGGGCACCTATTCAGATTCGGGTAGATGCCACACAGTAGAGGGGTTAAGCAGTGAGGTAGCGTGAATTGGGGTTGATTGCTGTGCATCTGGTCATAATGACAGATGCAGGAATGCTCCTCAGAGGAACACTTGAAATAAAGAGTTGCAGTCACAAAATCTGGTGTCCCTTGGTGGTGGAGTCATCCAATTCTCAGAAGGAGGGCAGAACACAATGCAGTGTATCTATTCATCGCCTCCGAACTCATCTGCTATTATTGTTGTTGTTTTTTTGTACTTATTAACCGGCCTGTCTCCTCGTAACGAACACGGGAGGAGAGGGATAGGACTGGCCGGTTACACTAGCCTCGTTATGATTACATTATCCATGACTTCTAGAAATAACATGATGCAATTCATATCATGTATGACGCAACACCAGGTTCAGATTACATCATTCATTGTTTTGCTCAAAACGCAAGTAATGTCCAAACCCAGTCATAGATGTATTCATAGATCCAGTCAAATATGTATTTTAGTAATTCTGGTCTATAACTCACTTATCCTCCGTAATTCCCAAATCAAGGGTCGTATATACTGACCCAGTAGCACATCTTGAAGACTAGAGCCAATCAACAATTTTAAGCATCATTTTCATTCTCAGTGACCCGTAATTTGTAGTGGACTACATTTATTTCTTAAGCATTTTGGCTGTAGACCAGTGTTATTTGAGGATGGGTTATTATATTTGTCACTAGTGTTGGCCGTGAACAGGAATCGAACCCAGGTCGCCGGGTTCGTAATGCAATCCACTAACCGCTGCGCGACCGCTCAACATACAACAACACCCTACCTAACCCACCCAATCACCCATCTAGTTACCCACCCACCAACTCACCACACTGCAGGTCATCTCTCTTCTCTCTCGGCTTTTTCCCTCGCTCTGCTCCACTCTGGAATCCCCTTCCCCATCACCACCACCACCATCGTCCCTTTTACCCCAGCGCTCACAACAAGAACCTCTTTCAATTCGAGACGTGACTTCTCTATTCTCATTACAACGTTGTTAGTGCTATTTGTTGCTAGCCGCTTGGTGTTTAAGGGCCGTCGGGCCCTGTGCTGAGTGACTGTGTTTTAGTCAAGGCAGATGGGAATCAGTGGGCACCATCAGTGGACAGCACCAGTGGATCCTACCAGCGGCCACCAGTTTGCGAGGATGGGCGTGGCTGGTGATGTGGGCCCCGGTTGTAGCGGCAATTTTGATGATGGGGGGGGGGGGGGCGCTACCTGTTGTAGCTGTAGAGGTAGATGGGAGGGGGGGGCAGGGCGCTACCTGTCGTAGCCATAGAGGTAGACGACGCCGATGACCTCGAAAAAGGCGATGATGAGCAGCGGCACTGAGCCGGCATAGTTGTCGAAGACGGTGAGCCAGTAGTTCCCTGAGCTCAGCGTGAACACCAGGCCAAGCAGCATGCACGCCAGGCACAGCAAACCTACACAGCCGCCGCCACCACCACCATACCCGCCACAAATCATCGTCGTGATCATCATCGTCACTCCAATTGAATTACCCATGGAAGCTTCGCCCGAGTCCCACGACCCTTGTTCAGGAGGGTCCTGCCATGTGTTTGCAGTGCCAGGGGAGTCGATGGCCATGCTCTGTGGAATCCTGCTCGGATTTGGATTCGTGATGACGGCACACAATGGCCTCCTCTTGGGTGAGTGACCGAGTGAGTGAGTGGGTGGGTCAGTGAGTGGATGAGTGAGTGTGTGCGTGGGTGTAGTGAGTCGGTGAAAAGGAGAGCGAGTGGGTGGATGAATGGATCAATGGGTGGGTGGATGGATAAGTGGGCGGATGGGTGAGAGGCTAGATGGGTGAGTTTGTAATTTACCAAAAAGCACTTGAACGGCTCAAACACGTTAATATCGATCTCTCAGGGTCGCTCTTCATTGGCAGCACAAAATCATCAGCACCACCATAGTCACCATCATCGCCGTGCGGTACCGAGCGAGGTACCTGTGACGGCCTCCTTGGGCATGGACTTGGGGATGACTCCGAGGTCCGTGAGCGGGTTGATAATCCCCTCAATGTTGCCGAACATGGTGGAGAGGCCCAGCATGAAGAGCATGATGAAGAAGAGCACCGACCACACCTGCGGCCACGCCACATGCACCAGTGGTCAGAGGCTCACGATGGCCGAGCCGGGGGTGCCGGGTCCGCACCGGAGGGGTGTGCGAGTGAGTGACTCAGAGTGAGTCACCCCGTGAGTGAGTGACCCTTGCGAGTGAGTGACCCCTGCGAGTGAGTGACCCCTGCGAGTGAGTGACCCCTGCGAGTGAGTGACTAAGTGAGTGACTCTGTGAGTGACTCTGAGTGAGTCACCCAGTGAGTGAGTGACCCCTGCGAGTGAGTGACCCCTGCGAGTGAGTCACCCCGTGAGTGAGTGACCCCTGGGAGTGAGTGACTCTGAGTTAGTGACCCCTGCGAGTGAGTGACCCTGCGAGTGAGTTACTCTGAGTGAGTGACTCTGAGTGAGTGACCCTGCGAGTGAGTGACTCTGCGAGTGAGTGACTCTGCGAGTGAGTGACTCTGAGTGAGTGACCCCTGCGAGTGAGTGACCCTGCGAGTGAGTGACTGAGTGACTATGAGTGAGTGACCCTGCGATTGAGTGACCCTGCGAGTGAGTGACTCTGCGTGAGTGACTCTGCGTGAGTGACTCTGCGTGAGTGACTCTGCGTGAGTGACTCTGCGTGAGTGACTCTGCGAGTGAGTGACCCCTGGGAGTGAGTGACTCTGAGTTAGTGACCCCTGCGAGTGAGTGACTCTGAGTGAGTGACCCTGCGAGTGAGTGACCCTGCGAGTGAGTGACTCTGAGTGAGTGACTCTGAGTGAGTGACCCTGCGAGTGAGTGACTCTGAGTGAGTGACCCTGCGAGTGAGTGACCCTGCGAGTAAGTGACTCTGAGTGAGTCACCCCGTGAGTGAGTGACCCTTGCGAGTGACTGAGTGAGTGACTCTGCGTGAGTGACTCTGCGAGTGAGTGACCCCTGCGAGTGAGTGACTCTGAGTGAGTGACTCTGAGTGAGTGACCCTTGCGAGTGACTGAGTGAGTGACTCTGCGTGAGTGACTCTGCGAGTGAGTGACCCCTGGGAGTGAGTGACTCTGAGTGAGTGACTCTGCGAGTGAGTGACCCCTGGGAGTGAGTGACTCTGAGTGAGTGACTCTGAGCGAGTGACCCTGCGAGTGAGTGACTCTGCGAGTGAGTGACCCCTGGGAGTGAGTGACTCTGAGTGACCCCTGCGAGTGAGTGACTCTGCGAGTGACCCCTGCGTGTGAGTGACTGAGTAAGTGACCCCTGCGAGTGAATGACCCCTGCGAGTGAGTGACCTCTGGGCGTGTTCACCTGGGAGCCGGGCATGTTAACGATGGCTTCTGTGAAGATGATGAAGGCCAGGCCAGTCCCAGATGCAGCCTGGCAGGGGGGGAGGAGGGGGAGGGGAGGGGATTACTACGCCTAACGAGCAGACAACTCACATCCTTCCCAAGTCTCCTCCCTCCACAAAGCAAATACAATTGCGCGTTTTTCACATCCCATCAGCCCCACACACACACGGTCTTCTGCTGTCTGCGAGCGCATTTCATCGGCAGTATTGGTTCAAAAACGCAGGCGAAACTCCGCCCCGGTTACGAACTGCCGAGGAGACGCTGCATCAGGCAGCCTTGCTGGAACCAAATGCCGCAGGTGCGTTGCCTGCATATGTAATCGGCAAGGAGCCTCTCCCGGTCCACACTACGGAGTGATCGTCACCAGCTGTGGGTGCGTGGGGCGTGGCCTCCACGAGGGCACGAGAGCTCAACTCCGTGTTCCCACAGAGACACCATCAGGACCTTCGGTCCATACATCCGATGGCTTTTACGGCATTTTCGACCTTGACTCAGGAGGTTCCAGAATTTACGAACCGCAGCTGAGGCCCCCTCCCCATCGTCCCCAAGCCCCGCGAACTCCCCCCCCCCCCCGTCCCTCCCCAGCAGTCCCTCTCTCCAGTCCCGTTCATTGTTGAGAAAGTCCTGGAGAACAACGCCTCAATTATAATTAATCGACCCAGGAATATTTCCTCCTGCAACACCCCGAGCAGGGGCGCCACGGTGGTGAGATGGTCGCTACCTCGCCTGCTATACAGGAGGTCGTGGGTTCCATCCCAACCCTGGGAGATGTTGACTACCTCGCCTGCTATACAGGAGGTCGTGGGTTCCATCCCAACCCTGACGCCTGCTGTATTTTTGGAGTTTGCGTGTCTCTCTCCCTGTGGTCGCGTGGATTTTTCTCCAGGTCCTCCGGGTTTTCCCTCCACGTTTAGAATCGACATGCATTTAGGACATTTGGCTGTGATACCTTCCCACGTGATGATGATGATGATAAGCCACTTTGTTGAGCTCTCATTCGAGGACATGTCAGTTCTGAAAATAGCTACAAAGCCGAGTAGGGCCTTACCTGGTCAAATAAAAAATAGTTTGTGGTTTTAGTCTCGTTTAGAAGCCTACCGACTCCCCCGTGGTGTCCCAACTTTGTGAGAGACTCCTGGAGGTCCCTGCTTTGTCAACTTCCATACAGGAGTTACTGTACACAAGGCTGGAATGGGCTATAAGACCATTTCCAAGCAGCTTGGTGAGAAGGTGACAACAGTTTGTGCGATTATTCGCAAATGGAAGAAACACAAAAGAACTTCCTCATCATTAGACCTCCTTTGCGAGTACCAAAATGTAATAATAGGGTTTTCCCCTTTTTTCTGGCAAGAAAACTGAAACTTTTTACAAGGATTCATATCTGCATTAACCACAATACTTGCAGTCAAAATGCAAACAAAAAACATACTATGATAATATATGCTTTCTAAAGAAAGCCGTCCCTTGGTGTGGACCAATCAGTTTCAAGGACAATGCAATCAGTTTCAAGGACAATGCATATATTATCATAGTATGTTTTTTGTTTGCATTTTGACTGCAGGTATTGTGGTTAATGCATATATGAATCCTTGTAAAAGGTTTCAGTTTTGTTGCCAGAAAAAAAGGGGAAAACCCCTATTATTACACAAAAGAACTGTCAATCTCCCTCGGCCTGGGGCTCCATGCAAGATCTCACCTCGTGGAGTTGCAATGATCATGAGAACGGTGAGGAATCAGCCCAGAACTACACGGGAGGATCTTGTCAATGATCTCAAGGCAGCTGGGACTATAGTCACCAAGAAAACAATTGGTAACACACTACACCGTGAAGGACTGAAATCCTGCAGCACCCACAAGGTCCCCCTGCTCAAGAAAGCACATATACATGCCCGTCTGAAGTTTGCCAATGAACATCTGAATGATTCAGAGGACAACTCAGTGAAAGTGTTGTGGTCAGATGAGACCAAAATGGAGCTCTTTGGCATCAACTCAACTCGCCGTGTTTGGAGGAGGAGGAATGCTGCCTATGACCCCAAGAACACCATCCCCACCGTCAAACATGGAGGTGGAAACATTACGCTTTGGGGGTGTTTTTTCTGCTAAGGGGACAGGACAACTTCACCGCATCAAAGGGACGATGGACGGGGCCATGTACCGTCAAATCTTGGGTGAGAACCTCCTTCCCTCAGCCAGGGCATTGAAAATGGGTCGTGGATGGGTATTCCAGCATGACAATGACCCAAAACACATGGCCAAGGCAACAAAGGAGTGGCTCAAGAAGAAGCACATTAAGATCCTGTAGTGGCCTAGCCAGTCTCCAGACCTTAATCCCATAGAAAATCTGTGGAGGGAGCTGAAGGTTCGAGTTGCCAAACGTCAGCCTCGAAACCTTAATGACTTGGCGAAGATCTGCAAAGAGGAGTGGGACAAAATCCCTCCTGAGATGTGTGCAAACCTGGTGGCCAACTACAAGAAACGTCTGACCTCTGTGATTGCCAACAAGGGTTTTGCCACCAAGTACTAAGTCATGTTTTGCAGAGGGGTCAAATACTTATTTCCCTCATTAAAATGAAAATCAATTTATAACATTTTTGACATGCGTTTTTCTGGATTTTTTTGTTGTTATTCTGTATCTCACTGTTCAAATAAACCTACCATTAAAATTCTAGACTGATCATTTCTTTGTCAGTGGGCAAACGTACAAAATCAGCAGGGGATCAAATACTTTTTTCCCTCACTGTACCCTCCAGCCACCGCACCCACTCACAATCCCCTCCCCCCACCTGGTTGAGGAAGTCCTGGAGGTCGCAGTAGCGCAGGTCGAGTGCATCCACGCGGCCCGGCCACGTGGAATTAAGTGCGGCGAGGTCGGCTTCGTAGGAGGCCCGCGTGATGTTTCCCTCGGGCAGGTCGAACTCGTTCACCAGGGACAGGATGTTCCTGGGGGGGGAGCGGGGGTGGTGGGGGCACACCAACCATCCACGATCATTTTCTTGATTTATCTGATGAACCATGAAGCTTCATTTCACCCATGTCCAGCAGGGGCACAGGGTCAAAAAGTTACAACACCCAGCTCCCACTCTACCCCAGCACCCTTCCCTACCCACCCCTCCCCTCTTCCCCGTTCCCCAAACCCCCCCCCCACCCAGTACCTCCACTCACCCCCACCTCCCGTCCCCCAACCCCCACCCACCTCCCGTCCCTTACACCGCCCCCACCCACCCGTCGAGGCAGCCGTTAAAGGCCATGGTGGCCTTGAAGCCCAGGATGCTGAAGATGGGGATGGAGGCGAAGAGCGAGGTCCCGCTGTTGATGCAAGCGATGGTCACCGCGTCCACCTCGCAGTCGTTCCTGCAGCCAAAGACAAAGACCTCCCGTTGAGCCTCATCACACATTGTTGGGGAAAGTGCTGTTAGCCAGCACACAACGGGATGGGTTTGCCAGCACCACGCCCGGCCGTCTTCGTCTCCCCAGCGCTGATGTATACACATCGCACCAGGTGCTTATTTGAGGCCGAGTAGACCTAGGGGAGGCCTAGGACAGGTTCAGATATTCATCACTGGTGTTGGCATTGAGCGGGAATCAAACTGGGGTCGCCGAGTTTGTACCCACGATCGCCAAAGACGCAACCCCAGTCATCAGCAAGTCCACTCAGCTCCACGTCCTCCTGTACCACATCACTCCATCTCTTCTCTAGCCCGTGCCGCGCCCATGTAGCCCCCTCTATGCGGCTAAACAGAAGCTGTGTGTGTGTTGGAGGGTTGTGTGTGTGTGTGTTGGAGGGTTGTGTGTGTGTGTGTTGGAGGGTTGTGTGTGTGTGTTGGAGGGTTGTGTGTGTGTGTGTGTTGGAGGGTTGTGTGTGTGTGTTGGAGGGTTGTGTGTGCGTGTGTTGGAGGGTTGTGTTTGCGTGTGTTGGAGGGTTTTGTGTGTGTGTTGGAGGGTTTTGTGTGTGTGTTGGAGGGTTGTGTGTGTGTTTGTGTTGGAGGGTTGTGTGTGTGTTTGTGTTGGAGGGTTGTGTGTGTGTGTGTTGGAGGGTTGTGTGTGTGTGTTGGAGGGTTGTGTGTGTGTGTTGGAGGGTTGTGTGTGCGTGTGTTGGAGGGTTGTGTGTGCGTGTGTTGGAGGGTTGTGTTTGCGTGTGTTGGAGGGTTTTGTGTGTGTGTTGGAGGGTTGTGTGTGTGTTTGTGTTAGAGGGTTGTGTGTGTGTTGGAGGGTTGTGTGTGTGTGTGTTGGAGCGTTGTGTGTGTGTTGGAGGGTTGTGTGTGTGTGTGTGTTGGAGGGTTGTGTGTGTGTGTGTGTTGGAGGGTTGTGTGTGTGTGTGTGTTGCAGGGTTGTGTGTGTTGGAGGGTTGTGTGTGTGTGTGTTGGAGGGTTGTGTGTGTGTTGGAGGGTTGTGTGCGTGTTGGAGGGTTGTGTGCGTGTTGGAGGGTTGTGTGTGTGTGTGTGTGTTGGAGGGTTGTGTGTTGGAGGGTTATGTGTGTTGGAGGGTTGTGTTTTGGAGGGTTGTGTGTGTTGGAGGGTTGTGTGTGTGTTGGAGGGTTGTGTGTTTGGGTTGGAGGGTTTTGCGTGTGTGTGTGTTGGAGGGTTGTGTGTGTGTTGGAGGGTTGTGTGTGTGTTGGAGGGTTGTGTGTGTGTTGGAGGGTTGTGTGTGTGTGTGTGTTGGAGGGTTGTGTGTGTGTGTGTGTGTGTTGGAGGGTTGTGTGTGTGTGTGTTGGAGGAATGTGTGTGTGTGTGTGTTGGAGGGTTGTGTGTGTGTGTATGTGTGTGTGTTGGAGGGTTGTGTATGTGTGTGTGTTGGAGGGTTGTGTGTGTGTGTGTTGGAGGGTTGTGTGCGTGTGTGTTGGAGGGTTGTGTGCGTGTGTGTTGGAGGGTTGTTTGCGTGTGTGTTGCAGGGTTGTTTGTGTGTGTGTTGGAGGGTTGTGTGTGTGTTGGAGGGTTGTGTGCGTGTGTGTGTTGGAGGGTTGTGTTTTGGAGGGTTGTGTTTTGGAGTGTTGTGTGTGTGTGTTGGAGGGTTGTGTGTGTGTGTGTTGGAGCGTTGTGTGTGTGTTGGAGGGTTGTGTGTGTGTGTGTGTTGGAGGGTTGTGTGTGTGTGTGTGTTGGAGGGTTGTGTGTGTGTGTGTGTTGCAGGGTTGTGTGTGTTGGAGGGTTGTGTGTGTGTGTGTGTTGGAGGGTTGTGTGTGTGTTGGAGGATTGTGTGCGTGTTGGAGGGTTGTGTGCGTGTTGGAGGGTTGTGTGTGTGTGTGTGTGTTGGAGGGTTGTGTGTTGGAGGGTTGTGTTTTGGAGGGTTGTGTTTTGGAGGGTTGTGTTTTGGAGGGTTGTGTTTTGGAGGGTTGTGTTTTGGAGGGTTGTGTGTTGGAGGGTTGTGTGTGTGTTGGAGGGTTGTGTGTGTGTTGGAGGTTGTGTGTGTGTTGGAGGGTTGTGTGTGTGTGTGTGTTGGAGGGTTGTGTGTGTGTGTGTTGGAGGGTTGTGTGTGTGTGTGTGTGTGTTGGAGGAATGTGTGTGTGTGTGTGTTGGAGGGTTGTGTGTGTGTGTATGTGTGTGTGTTGGAGGGTTGTGTATGTGTGTGTGTTGGAGGGTTGTGTGTGTGTGTGTTGGAGGGTTGTGTGCGTGTGTGTTGGAGGGTTGTGTGCGTGTGTGTTGGAGGGTTGTTTGCGTGTGTGTTGCAGGGTTGTTTGTGTGTGTGTTGGAGGGTTGTGTGTGTGTTGGAGGGTTGTGTGCGTGTGTGTGTTGGAGGGTTGTGTGTTGGAGGGTTGTGTGTGTGTGTTGGAGGGTTGTGTGTGTGTGTTGGAGGGTTGTGTGTGTGTGTTGGAGGGTTGTGTGTGTGTGTTGGAGGGTTGTGTGTGTGTGTTGTACGGTTGTGTGTGTGTTGGAGGGTTGTGTGTGTGTTGGAGGGTTGAGTGTGTGTGTTGGAGGGTTGTGTGTGTGTGTGTGTTGGAGGGTTGTGTATGTGTGTGTGTGTTGGAGGGTTGTGTGTGTGTGTGTTGGAGGGTTGTGTGCGTGTGTGTTGGAGGGTTGTGTGCGTGTGTGTTGGAGGGTTGTTTGCGTGTGTGTTGGAGGGTTGTTTGCGTGTGTGTTGGAGGGTTGTTTGTGTGTGTGTTGGAGGGTTGTGTGTGTGTTGGAGGGTTGTGTGTGTGTTGGAGGGTTGTGTGCGTGTGTGTGTTGGAGGGTTGTGTGTGTGTTGGAGGGTTGTGTGTGTGTTGGAGGGTTGTGTGTGTGTTGGAGGGTTGTGTGTGTGTGTTGGAGGGTTGTGTGTGTGTGTTGGAGGGTTGTGTGTGTGTTGGAGGGTTGTGTGTGTGTTGGAGGGTTGTGTGTGTGTTGGAGGGTTGTGTGTGTGTTGGAGGGTTGTGTGTGTTGGAGGGTTGTTTGTGTGTGTTGGGGGGTTGTTTGTGTGTGTGTGTTGGAGGGTTGCGTGTGTGTGTGTGTGTGTTGGAGGGTTGTGTGTGTGTGTGTGTTGGAGGGTTGTGTGTGTGTGTGTTGGAGGGTTGTGTGTGTGTGTGTTGGAGGGTTGTGTGTGTGTGTTGGAGGGTTGTGTGTGTGTTGGAGGGTTGTATGTGTGTGTGTTGGAGGGTTTTGTGTGTGTGTGTTGGAGGGTTGTTTGTGTGTCTTGGAGGGTTGTGTGTGTGTCTTGGAGGGTTGTGTGTGTGTGTTGGAGGGTTGTGTGTGTGTGTTGGAGGGTTGTGTGTGTGTGTTGGAGGGTTGTGTGTGTGTTGGAGGGTTGTGTGTGTGTGTGGGAGGGTTGTGTGTGTGTGTTGGAGGGTTGTGTGTGTGTCTTGGAGGGTTGTGTGTGTGTGTTGGCCGGTTGTGTGTGTGTTGGAGGGTTGTGTGTTTGTGTTGGAGGGTTGTGTGCGTGTTGGAGGGTTGTGTGTGTGTGTTGGAGGGTTGTATGTGTGTGTGTGTTGGAGGGTTTTGTGTGTGTGTGTGTGTTGGAGGGTTGTGTGTGTGTGTTGGAGGGTTGTGTGTGTGTGTGTTGGAGGGTTGTGTGTGTGTTTTTGGAGTAGCCCCGAGGGTAGGTATTCAATCTCCTGGCTCCGCCAATTGGGGTTTGGCCAGGAGACGTCATAGACGCCTGGCCCCCGGGGCCTCTGGCACAAGCTTAGTTGTTACATATTTCAGTTTAATTCGTAGTTTCGTGGTAATTAATTGAAGGTGGAGGGGTTACCAGCCCCTCGCACCCGTCCAGAGCCCCCGTTTAGCCCCTGTGGTGGACACATATGCCATGAGGGGAGGAGCCAATCAAAATTGGATCTCCGCCCACAGCGCTGTCCACGACAGAGTTGCCCGTCTGGCACCGCGAGGAGGTAGGGGGTTGTTTTGCCGGACGAGCCTCCTCCACAGAGGCCGATCTTGACACCGCCGATGACTGGTACCAGCGGTGTCAAGATCGGCCTCTGTGGAGGAGGCTCGTGAAGGATGCTACTGGGCAGTTGGAGGCAGTCGCCCTCCAACAACACGGAGGGCGGAGGAGCGATGCTCACAACAGCGAGCGGAGCGCCGGGTGGCTAAAGCACAGCAGGTTGGCACAGTAGGGGGCACAGGTGGTGCATCAGCCAGTCATCTCAGTCAGTCGACCCGTGGCACCTGGGTCTGCCCAGTGACCTCCTGCCAGCGGGCGTTCGACACTTCACGTGGCCTCGGGGTGCACATAGCCTGGCACAAGCGTCGTGGTGACGTCACCGCCACTTAGTGGCGAATGGCGGTTGTTGTTGTTGTTGTTGTGTGTGTGTGCTGGAGGGTTGTGTGTGTGTTGGAGGGTTGTGTGTATGTGTGTGTGTTGGAGGGTTGTGTGTGTGTTGGAGGGATGTGTGTGTGTGTTGGAGAGTTGTGTGTGTGTTGGAGGGTTGTGTATGTGTTGGAGGGTTGTGTATGTGTTGGAGGGTTGTGTGTGTGTGTGTTGGAGGGTTGTGTGTGTTGGAGGGTTGTGTGTGTGTGTTGGCGGGTTGTGTGTGTGTGTGTGTTGGAGGGATGTGTGTGTGTGTGTGTTGGATGGTTGTGTGTGTGTGTTGGACGGTTGTGTGCGTGTGTGTGTGTGTTGGAGGGTTGTGTGCGTGTGTGTGTTGGAGGGTTGTGTGTGTGTGTGTTGGAGGGTTGTGTGTGTGTTGGAGGGTTGTGTGTGTTGGGGGGTTGTTTGTATGTGTGTGTTGGAGGGTTGCGTGTGTGTGTGTGTTGGAGGGTTGTGTGTGTGTGTGTGTTGGAGGGTTGTGTGTGTGTGTGTTGGAGGGTTGTGTGTGTGTGTTGGAGGGTTGTGTGTGTGTGTTGGAGGGTTGTGTGTGTGTTGGAGGGTTGTATGTGTGTGTGTTGGAGGGTTTTGTGTGTGTGTGTTGGAGGGTTGTTTGTGTCTTGGAGGGTTGTGTGTGT